TCAAAATGGATCAAAGATCTGAACCTAAGACCTCAGACAATAAAACTACTTGTAGAAAATTCTGGGGAAACTCTGGGAAACATTGGAGTAGGCAAAGACTTCTTAAATAAGACTCCCAAAGCACAGGCAATAATCCCTAAAATAGACAAGTGGGACTATATTAGACTAAGAAGTTTCTGCACAGCAAAGGACACAGTAACAAGTGTGAACCGACAACCCTCAGAATGGGAAAATATTTTTGTTAAATATGCCTCAGACAAGGGACTGATAACGAGAATACATAGGGAACTCAAGTGCCTTATGCGAAAAAAAATGATTAACCCGATTAAAAGATGGGAAAGTGAGCTGAACAAAAGTCTCTCTAAGGAAGACATACGAACAGCCAAAAAGCATATGAGGAAATGCTCGACATCCCTCATCATAAGGGAAATGCAGATAAAAACCACAATGAGATACCACCTAACCCCTGTCAGAATGGCAAAGATTAAGAATATAAAAAGTGATAAGTGTTGGCGGGGATGTGGTGAAAAGGGAACCCTCCTCCACTGTTGGTGGGAATGTAAACTAGTTCAACCACTGTGGAGAACAATATGGAGGTTCCTCAAAGATCTACAAATAGAACTACCATTTGATCCAGCAATCCCACTTCTGGGTATTTACCCAAAAGACAGGAGAACGCTCAGTCAGAAAAGTGCTTGCACATCCATGTTTATTGCAGCATTATTCACAATTGCCAAGACATGGAACCAACCTAAATGTCCACAAACTGATGAATGGATTGGAAAAGTGTGGTATATATACTCTATGGAATACTACTCAGCCATAAAAAATAACAAGACCCTGGAATTTGATAGAAAATGGTCAGATATGGAGGATCTATTGCTGAGTGAAGTAAGCCAGGCTATGAAAGAAAGATATTGTATGTATCCACTCAATATATACCGACTATCCGCACTCTATAATAGAGAGCAAAAATTCGGAGGACATAAACACAGTGAAGGTACTTAATGAGAATAGGACAGTGTGGAATGGGGTAAGTGAAGAGAAGAGGATAGAGAAAGATAGCAAGTGAACAATAGAGAGACAGGACGTTAGTGAGAAACAGATAGGGGTTATTAACTGTTGATGATGACATGTATAGTATTCTCAACAATGTAATACACTGTAAAGTTATATGTAATCCAACGTAATGTAAAGAAGATTATGATGATAAAAAGAAAAGAAAAAAATAATCACCACATTAAAAAAAAAAACTTCTTTGGTAAAAAAACATACTACTGTTTTGTTCTTGTTGTTTTTTAGCTTTTGTTGTTTCTTAATTCAAGTCTTACTTGAAGGGTGAAAGATGTTACAATAAAAAGATTAGAGCAAAAGATTCCTGTAGCGAGTGGTAATGCTACTGAATCCACACAGGAAAGTTCTAGGTTCGCGTCCTCAGACCTCTGTGTATGCTGGCTATGTGTGTGTCCATGATCGAGGCTGGCTGAGGCTGGACGTGGATCATGGCATGAGGGCACTGTTGAGGATGCCTCTCTCTCTGTCTCTCTCTCTCTCTCTTTCATAGAAGAAATAAACTTTTAAAAGACTAAATTTATAGAACAAAGCATAATCTTAATAATTTTCTGTACTGTTTTTAGCAACCAGTAGCAGTAAAATAGACTTCATCACCATCGGATTCTGGCTGTGGTCTCAGAAGCATGCCTCTCCAATTGACGTATGACAGCAGCAGAGTTCAGAACACTGGTTGCCCTGTATATTTATTTCTAATGATCTTTAGCATCTGGAAGAAGCTCTGCTATTTAATTCCTCTCCTAGGTGACTGTCATTTAGACCTGATGGCCCATGACACCTCTATTTTGCCAGTCGTTACTCCAAGACAAGGAGTTTCTCTCCACCAGTTGTTCTCCTCCCTAAGCCAGCACCCTTACCCCATTCCCCTTGCCCTTCTTCTCAGGCTCAGAGCAGAGACCTGACAACTCATGATATGACAGCTGCCTTTTCCCCGTGATAGATGTGGGCTAGTGTCAGCTCCAAGGCCACAAGCAACAACTGAGAGGAAGGAGGAAACAGAGCCATTCAGAGACAATGTCAGTCAGAAAATCTAGCTTGAGAATGAAATAAGAACTACTGAGCAACACGTGTAACAGGAAGTTAAGATGAGTGTTTGTCTCAGTAAGCTTTCCATTCCAAAAGAGGGTGCAAGTAAAAGTTTAGTTGTGCAGTCCTTGACTCAAGGCTTACTTCAAGGGTAAAAGATGTTACAATAAAAAGATTAGAGCAAAATATTCCTGTAGCGACTCATTATTGACACTGAGAGAGAAGAACATTCCTCTCAAATGTAATGAGAGCTTTCATGAAGAACTCACAGAGAGGTCTTACTTTAACGGGATGCCTTGTAGAGGCTCTATGAGGACATTTACCTAAGAAGTAAGTGATGGTTAAGGCACTGGGCTCTCATATGGTCAACCACTGTTCAAGTCCTGGACCTGGCGACTTGCTTTCTCATGTTCTCTCTGTCTCTTTCTGGTCAATTTAAACAATAATAATAAATGAAATTAAATAATTATTAAAAAAAAAAAAAAAGAGAGAGAAGCGAGTGAGTGCTAAAACCAAAACTCTTACTCCTTACCAAGCTTTTCATACCCTATGATGGGGCTGTGTCACCTGGAAGAAAGACATCTTTTTCTAATATGTGCATGTACTGGCATACACACATACATAAACAGACAAGTCATTTACAGGATTTCTTAGAGATCTGCTAAATGCTTGCCTGAAGCTATAAAGCCCTTAGGTAGGAGGTGGGCTGCAGCAACTGGGGTATTGAGCAGCAGGCTGGGCTGAGAAAGTTGTTGCCTATGTCCAGGGCCACCAGGCCTTTGTGTTCAAGCGAACACCAGCCTAAGGTCAGCTGAGACTGCCAAAGGGCATGCTCAGGAAGGTGGAGGAGACCCCACAGAAAATGCTGGACTTGGCTATTGGACACCCAGAGGTAGAAGGAGATTTTCAGGAAAGACGTGGAAAGAAGGCAACCTGGATCTTATAAGATCTGTTCTTAACAATAATTGACTGCACAAATGAAGGAATGTTCATAACCACATTGACAAAACATGAAAAGTGACAACAGCATACCATTTTTCATCACATTAGCAAATGTTTTCAAAACAGTAGTGCTCAAAGCTGCTGAGGGTGAGGGGACACGGGCATCCTGATGTACAAGTGAGAGTTTCAACTGTCTGAAACTTTCTGAAACCCAACCTAGCAATAGATAACAAAAACCTTACAGATTAAAACCACTTAGCACAGTAATTACTGTAATTACACTCACAGGACTCTATCCAAAAGAAGTAAAAAAAGAAATACAAAGATCTTCTTTGCATGTATAGTAAAAAATTCTTAAATAATGTCTAACATTAGTCCAAAACAATTTATTGCTTCTATTTCAGTTGAATATTATCAGGCATTAAGGTCATGTTTATGAGATACTTGAACAGTATCAAGTGAAAAAGTGGAATTCTAGCAATGTGTAGAGAAAAAGACCAGAGGAAAATGTAATACCAAAATGTAAATAATGGTTCTGTCTGGGTGGTGGGAGTCAGGGGAGGGAGGCTTTTCTTCCTTCTTTACACATTGTATTTATTTATTTATTTAAAGGGATTTTTGCTATGAGGTACATGTACTCACTAGAGAGACAGAGACAGACAAAGAGATAGAAAGAGAGAAATTCCCACCCACCCCCAGGAGATGTCCATGATGGAATCCCCTCTCCCTCATTCTCCTCTCAGGATTTTGGACATACATGTACACACATGCCCAGCGTGAGTTTTAAGCTGCTGCGTCCAGGACTTGAACAGTGGTCAGCAACATGGGAGTCCAGTGCCTTAACCATTACACCACCTGCCAAACCCACCTTCTTTACACATTAATTTCTCACAGTAGACTTACATTACTCTTCTTTTTTTTCTGTGAACTGTTTCTTTAATCTACATTTAATCATTATGCAAAGATATATAGTAATTATATTACTCTTCTAATCAACAAAGAAAACCCATCAGAGTGAAAGGCCGTGTGGCTGGTTACCCGAATGCTGGCATTGATGGGGGCTGTGGTGGGTGGGGCAGGTGGCCCTCTTAGACCTGGTTTTGCTTGGCAGGGAAGCTGCATTCTGAGCAGTGTGGGTGCTGGCAGCACCCCATCTCAGCAGACTTGGGAGCCTCAGCTGCAAGCAACCACCTTTCAGGCTTAAGGTGTATGTCCCCTTAAATGTTCAGGGCTGCTCAGCTGGAATAGTCCCCTCGAGCAGTGCCTCTCTCTAGATGTAATGCACACATCAATCACTTGGGGATCTTGTTAAAATGCAGGCTCTGCATCAGAATTCTGAGACTGGATTCCATATCCCTCTCAAGCTTATAGGAGACAGAGATGCTGCCCACGGAGGACCACAATCTGAGTGGCAGAACTCAAGAGCAGTTTCTCAAACTTTATTGTCCATGACACTCTCCTGGATAGTTTGTTGGGCACAACATGCTGGGCCCAATGCTCAGAAATTGATTTAACAGGTCAGGGCAGGGCTCACTGATTTGCCTTCCAACTAGCTCCTGAGTGATGTCGATGCTGCTAGCCTGCAGGCCACACTTCGGCCAGCACCCTCTAACACTCACATCTAATGCCTTGTTCCCTGAGGAATGGACCAACAGCCAGCACTATCTATCAGTACCACCTGCAAGCCTGCCAGAAATGCAAAGGCTCAGGCCCCACCCCAGACCTATGGAATCAGTCTGTATGTAAGAGTAAGAGCCATTTCCAGATAATCAGTAGGTGTCTGCCTCTCCCAGCCCTCAGTCACTGGATGAAATGGGCACACCTATCGGACAAACTGAGCTACTTCCTCATTTCTCTATGTAGCCATGGTAATGAGAGTGATTACTGCAGACCATCTGCACCCAGTCCACCACCCTGAGAGGTGCTGACCATGTCCTTCAGAAGAAAACATCTCAGTCACCATGGAACAATCTTGGAATTCTTACATCAATTCCTTAACTCAGAACTTCCTGCCTAGACAAGTGGAGGTGACCGAGGGAAACTATTTTTCAGGTAGGGGTGTTAGTACTTGGTTGCCACAGAGAATTCCGGGAGTAACTGGACACAAAACTATCAAGTGCTGGGAGGAATGTGGGATTGCTGAAGATTCTGAGTTATAGGGCTAGGGGTAAGGGAGGAGAGAGTCTTGGGTTCTAGTTCACCTCAGAGCAAGACTGTACTAGGAAGAATTAAGTGTCATCTTATGGAAATGATTTTCCTTAAAAGATATCCTGTCCTTATTTTTTGTAATATACCGTAACTTTAGGAGGAAAAATTCTCTTTCCCAAGATGGTGTGTTGGACAAGGAAGAAAAAAATGCTCTGTTTATGGAAGACACATTTATTTGCTAAGGCGTTTTCCTTAGCCCTGGGCAGAATAAAATGTACAATCTAGACTTTCTTTTTGCTTGAATTTAAATGCAGTGTATGTTGTCATATTTCCTGCTACTTGAGAGTGTTTTTTTTTTTAATCTGACAGGAGGGTGGGGAGGGAGGCGATTCACCAGTGGCTATTTGAAGTGTAATGATCGCCTAGAGAGGGGGAGCAGGAACTCACCCCAGTGTTATTTTTGAGCAGTGAATATTTTTCACTCTGGTAAGAAATTACTGCAATTTGACACATGAAATCTAAGGCACAGGTAAGTGTGATCTTGAAAAATTGTCTTTTGTTGGCTTGATGGTGACAAAAAAAAAAAATCTCGATGCTACAGACATTTTCCCATGGTTAGTGAGAATTCAGCCAGAGCAGCAGAAAGCTGCCCAGCACTTTCTCTGCATTGTTATAAGAGGAAAAATGGGGCTAACTGCTAGGAGTGAGGGGTGCCCCGCTGCCCGTCGGATAAGGCAAATCACAATGGTCACCTCTCGAAAGAAAATCACTTCAAATCCTTCCAACTTTCAGATGGATTACACGTTCTGACATACTTAAAATCTACCTTTTTATAAAAGGTATACAATTACCCAATTAGTGGTCTTTTTCTGGTTTTGTTCTTGAGAAGAATCTGTTGGTTTTTTATGTCATATTTAACAGGTTTGAATAACCATATTTTCCTTTAAGTTTCCATTTACCAATAGAAGCTCTAGTACCAATCTCAAACACAGTCACACCCTTTCATAACTTTTCCTTGCATGTCACTTTTTTTCAGGGTCCCTGTATGATCTGTCATTCTCCAAAGGGGACATCATCACAATTGTTAACCTGGTACCCTCCAGCCTCATCGGAGAAGTGAATGATGGCAATAACACTCTGGGCAAGGTGGATATTCCTCTTGATTATGAAGGTAAAGTACATGATGTTCCATTTTAGCTTTTATTAACCGTCACAGAGTATGAGTATGTATATGAATGGTAGAAAGGGTGATTTTGTCTAGTTTTGCCATGCGGAGTAAAGAGGGAAGCTGCCCACGGTGCCAGCTAGAACTTGAGCCAGTGGGAAAGTAAGTTAACATGTGTACATTTTCCAGTGGTGCAGGCCTGGAAAGCAGACTGAGCCGGTTCCTTGCATGGTGGTCTGAACTAATGACATGGTTCCATATAAAAGCATCTTGCACTTGTTTGTCTTTCCATTGTTACATCATCAGCTCCATGCCTTTTGAAGATATGCTATCTGACAAAAAAAAAAAAAAAATTCAACCTTTCTATTCCATAGTAGGTGTGATCGGTAAGGGTTCTTGGCAAACAGAAAAACTGACTTGAGAAAACGGCCGACTCACTGCACTATAGACTTGATCAAGTACCACACGGATTAACAGTGTCACTGAGTTGTGGGATGGTTGGTAGGTGGTTTGGTTTTGGTTTTTTTGAGCCAGAAAGAGGAATAACTTTTGTAACTTAAGAGGGTCATATAAAATAAACAAAACAAAAAGTTTAATTGGGTGCCAGCAGATGATATAATGGTTACATTACTGGACTCCCACCTAGTCAACCACAGTTCAAGTCCCGGACCCAGTGGCTTAAACCTCACACTGGGCACATGTGCATGTGTGCCCAAAGTCCCAAGAGGAGAATGGAAGAGAAAGGATTGCAGCATAGTCATCCCCCGAAGGGGTGATTTCTCACTTTCTGTCTTTCTCTCCAGCAAGCGCATGCACCCAATAGCAAAACTCTCCTTTAGAAAAAAAAAAAAGTTTAAATAAATTTAATGTCTATATTGTGGTCAGTTAAGAGCGACAAAGAAGAAAAATAAAAACAATAAAGAAAGAGTGACAGAGATAATAATAATCAGAGGGAGAATTAAAGAGAGAAGGACATGGGGCCAGACAGTGGCACAAAACTGATACAACTGGACCCACCCGAGATGGTTCTGGTTCACACTGCAGAAACACGTGGTCCAGGTTCACTGAGGCTGGGGGTAGATCATGGTGTAAAGACCCTGTTGTGGGTGCCTATCTCTTTCTCTCTGTGAGTCTCTTCCTCTTAAGAAAGAAGGGGAAAAAAACTGGAAAAAAAAGGGAGAGAGAGAGTAAGAAAGGACAAAGAGAAAAAGAGTGAACTTGGGCTCAAAGTGTCACTCAGATATAGACTGAGAAAGAACACAGTCCCAAATGTAAGCAGCATTGGCTCAGTGGAGACCCAATGTTCAAGGCACAGATGCCATGAATTTCTCTCTCCATCACTAAAAAAAGAAATGGTTTTAACTGGGCATGTGTGGAGCAGTGGCATCACTAGGAAAGCCATTTCCAAGGCTTTGCCTTTTGATTGTTTTTAAATTTTACTAATTTTTATTATTATTATTATTATTATTTGCCATAGGGTACATGCACTCACCAGAGAGGAATAGAGAGAAGGAAAGTGAGAAAATAAGCTGTCAGGTCCAGGACTTGAACCGTGCTTGACCATGTAGGAGTTTAGCATCCCAATCACCATGCCACCTGTTGGTCTTGCCTTTGTTTAACACCCAGCATGAGTTCTGAAAGTTCTCTCAGACCCCTGCAGTCCGGTAAGGTCTGCAGCAGCTGCAGGATGGTTGGTTCCATAGTGTATAGGGAGCCAAATTTTGAACAAAATGATAAAACAGACATTTTTAATGTCCTTTTGTTGATAAAAAGCTAGAATGCTTAGACATTGATACATACTACTGTCAAAATACAAAATTACAACAAATTTAGATATCAACTGGCTTTTATTTGTGGTTCTAGAATCAGGAAACACTTCACTCTATGAAATAGAATGCGTGTTCCTATGAGCTGAGAAGAGGCTGGTTTTATAGACAGAAAAGGGACAAAGAAATCAGAATAAAAAGCAGATTGGTTGTTTCAAAGTTACTTTCCTTGTAAAGGTTAAAGCTGAGGGGTTTCTTTATCATGATGAGTAAAAGTGGGCTGTTTGGGTTTTGGCAGTTCTCTCTTGCATGTTCTTGATATTTGGAAGGTCAGCTCTTAGCCTTGGCTTGGTGGCATGGAACTTCATGGACTCCATCTTGGTTGGAATGCTGGGCCTTGTGCAGGAGCTCTGTCCAAACCAATGGCCTCCTATGAATTTTGTGTAACACTACCAAATAGATATAAAGAAAATTGTCTAGGTAAAAGTAAGATCTTTTCTTCTTTCAAGTGCCTCTGCGTTCTTTAGAAATGGCCCTGGTTTCTGAAGCCATACATTTCCCAGCTCTCCTAGAAAGCAAGTGAGGACTTTTTTGCCAGAAAAAGAAGACTAAACTGTTTGTTTTGATAGTTCATCTATGCAGAGTGTTTTTGGTTCCTGGAAAAGCAGTTCTAGGATCAGAGTCTGTTTAGGTATGAGATTTCAAGGATGCCTGGAGATGGAAGCTTCTGGAATGTTCCCCAAGGCTGATGTCCCTCTGGTTCTGCTGTTGACCAGCCTAAGCAACAGTCTACGCTTCATGTTCAAAATAGAGCCCTTGCTTTTCTCTTTTCCACAACTCACTCTTCCCAAAGGACTAAGGTCCAGAATTTCCTCACTGAGAGAGCTGTTTCTTTAGAATAAGACTTGGACAGGGCAGGACCCGTGTTGCACCTGGTGAAGGAAAACTCAGAGATCAGGCTTTGCGAGGGAGTGCCACTGACTCATTTCACCTGCTTCCCCTTGCTGCTGCAACTTTGTACTTTGACCCAGCCTTCACAGGGAGTAGCCAGAGTGACTGTATTTCCAAGAAGGACCTCAAGCAGACAGAATGGATTGCCTGCTGAGTCAGTTCCCTGCACTCTGTCCCTGCTACCCAGACTTCAAGACCTGCCCACTGTACTATAAAAAGGAATGAAGGGGGCCAGCAGGTGGCATGGTGGTTTAGGTCCTGGACACTCCCACGTGGCTGACAATGGTTCAAATCCCAGGCCTGGTGGCTTGCTTTCTCACTCCTCCTGCCCCATGTGTGTGTGTGTCTCTCTGGTCAAATTAAAATGAATTAATGAATAAATAAAATTAATCATTTCTTTTGGAAAAAAAAAAAGAATGAAGGGGACCAGCAAATGGCATAATGGTTACACTAGACTCCCATGTAGTCGACTGAGGCTCAAGTCCTGGACCTGGCAGCTTACTCACACTGTACTCATGTGCATGCATGCCCGGAATCCTGAGAGTGGAGGAGAGGGGATTGCGGCATGGCCTATCTACCCCCCGGGGGGAGGGGTGATTTCTTGCTTTCTGTCTCTCTGTTTCTCTAGTGAGCACAGGTGCCCTGTAGGAAAAATCTTTCAAAAACCAAAAAGGAATGAGCTCAGAAGGGCTGATCAGAAACATGCATGGTAGGCTTCAGTCTAAAAGATGGGACTCCAGAAGGGTCAAGAAGAGGAGTCAGTGAGTGACTCAGGAGCTCTGAGGATGGTCCAGGAAGAAGGAAGAGCAGGATATGTCAGAGGGAAGGCTGCTTGGGATTGCTTTCAACAGTTCATGTGAGAGACGCACTGGAATGTAGAATGTGGAGAAACACATTTGTGTCTGTTATTGCCTTCCAACCACAGCTGCTTGGGGATATCATTAGCTTCTCAGGGTCTCTGCCCAGTAATCTGTAAAATGGGGATAATGACCCAACCACTTAGCCAACTCACTGAGCTCCTGATGGTCACACCATGCTTTAAAATTGCCAAGGGCAATGTTCAAAGTACCGGCCAGGATATTTCTCTAATGGTAATAGCTCCGAGAGAGCAGTAGGTTTGGAAGATGAAGTATGATGTTTGCTATTTGACAAAAGGATTTTTGGGTTATAGTGCAAATGATGGAAGGGCTGGAAGGGAGAGCAGGGGGCATCACTGGGGAAGACCAGGCAGAGCTGGACACCTGGCGAGATACGTCTGTCTCTCTGCATTTATTTCCTGATTAGCATTCTAATGTGTCTCTGCTAATGGTGGCCCAGAGGGTCAGATTAATCAAAGTGAAAAGCATTTCTCTTTCAACTGCAATTACAACCATTATTTATGTTATTGAAATTAATCAATCACTATTGACTGCCTTTACTATTTTTATATCACTTTGGGAAATAAACAAATCTCAGACCCTCCCGGGGTAGGCAGCCCCATGCTGGGAGGCAAAAATGTTCTCCTCACTGCATAATGGAAGAAGTGAGGAGGGTTGCATGGTTGTTACTACATTTTTAACATGAAGTTCCTGTGTAAAGCAACGTGTGGTTTGTGTTCTTATGTTTTCTTGGCTAAAAGCTGACACTTTTTAATAGTCTTGGGTCTCACACATGGGTCACCCACATCAGTACCATTTTTTGGGTGTGTTAAGGAACACTTGCCAGAATGACAAGACCATTCTGCTTTTTGTTGGGGGAAGGGTTTAGGACTGTGGGATAGATCATCGTTTCCAATCCAACCACTTACTTGTCTGTAGATAAATTCAAGAAGCATCCACACTGTTCTCTTTCAAGTAAGTGTTAACGTATGGCATATTTTCCTTAGCATTTCAGAACATGTGTAAGTTTAACAAAATCAATAAAATCATACATTTTAAGCAAGATAATTAAGTCTATGATAAAGAGGTTCTGGTGTATAAAACTTTCTAAAGATATATTTCCCTCTTTATTATTTACATTTAATCACCATCCATCTTTATGGTGTACAACATGGTTTTCTCAGAAGGTATATTTACTTCTATCATCTCCTTATGCCCTTACTGCTCTGAGAGCTGAGCCAGGCTCTCATTATAGGGAAGTATGACATAGTAAAAAGGACAGGAATTTGGGCATTAGAAGAACATGCTTTTGAACACTGGATCTGCCCTTGTCTAGGCTACAGGGAAAGGTGGTATCTGAGTCTCCCCTATAATAGGAGTTTGTAAGGGAAGGTGACCAGTTCATCCCAAAGCCCTTTGGAGGCATTCCT